ATTTTGCATTTGCTCGTGTGAGGTGTAGACGGTGTGCATGAAGTGCTGTATGCATACCACTCAATGGAATTACGTTATTTTAAGAATTTTATTTTTTTTTTTCTACACGGGAACACTCCAGGAAAATTGACTTGAATGTAAGTGGGTTAAATGGATTATGCTAAACTTATCTGTTTACTTATTCAGAACCTAAGGGGCTTAATTATATGCAGATTGCTTTAAAGAAGTGAAACAGAGTTAATCAAATGAAGCTCGCTTGGATTATGAATAAAAATATTAGCATGGAGGTTTAATTCATTTTAATTAATTCACTTGAAGACAGCCAAGTGCATTTTCTTGCTTTCATGTAGGGAAGTCATACTAGACTGTAGTAGGAACAGCTGTATCAAGTTTGGATGAAAATTTCACTTCATATTAAAAAAAGGTGTTTAAATAAATGTAGAGAGAAAAAAGACCTCCCACAGAAACTGAACTGAGAGTTAATGGTGCTGTCAGTGTCTGTTAAAAAATGCCTGTGAAATATTAAGTAAAAAGATTGTTATTTGAGTTATATTCCTAGCTGCCTCCAAGATACAGTGGGATGTGATTAGGAGACAGGTAGGGGAATCAAGAAGCTAATTTCATTTCCTGACGTATTCACATCCAAGGGAGTTGCATTCTCTTCAAAGCATGGAAGCAATGGTTTTATTCTGCTTTGTTTGCTTCCCTTTCCTGACGTTAAGAGGAAGTTAATGGGGAGTAACTTTCCTGCTCTACTCTGCCCTGGTGAGGCCACATCTGGAATGCTTCATCCAGTTTTGGGCTCCCCAGTTCAAGAAGGACAAGGAACTACTGGAGAGAGTCCAGCGTAGAGCTACTAAGACTGGAGGGACTGGAGCATTTAACACATGAGGAAAGGCTGAGAGAGCTGGGTCTGTTTAGCCTGGAGAAGTGAAGGGAGATCTCATTAATGCTTATAAATATTTAAGGGGCGGGTGTCAGGAGGATGGGACCAGACTCTTCTCAGTTATGCCCAGTGACAGGACAAGGGGCAATGGTCACAAGAATGGTCACAGAATGCTCAATTTAAACATAAGGAAAAACTTTACTATGAAAGTAACAGCACTGGAACAGGCTGCCAAGAGAGGCTGTGGAGTCTCCTCTGGAGAGGTTCAGAACCTGCCTGGACACGTTCCTGTGTGATCTTCTTGAGGTGATCCTGCCCTGGCAGGGGCGTTGGACGGGATGATCTTCAGAGGTCCCTTTCAACCCTTGCCATTCTGTGATTCTGTAAGAGATGATTCTTTAGTTTGATAGGTGAGATTTCTTCACAGAGCAGTAATTGTTGCTGGTGTCTTTAACCACTTCAGGTCCATTTTGCATTGTTTCTACATGCAACTGGAAGAGGTAGTCCTTATTGTGTAACTTCAGGTTTAAGTCAATACTTTAATCCTTCTTGTTATGTTTTGGTTAGCACTAGTACATCAAAAAGTCCTTTTGGCTTTTGCCTGTAGTGTCCAGTGCTATTTCCAGTGCTATAGTGCTATTGAATGTTTGCTACTTTTGTAGTAATAAACTGTCAAATACAAAATCTGCTAAACGGAAGTGCTTGATGAATGTATCCCTGTCTGTCACAACACTAGAAGCAGATGGATTGTTAGGCAAATTCTAATGAATTTCACACTTTGATCTGTTAAGCGAATGGATGGGAGGATCTATTAGCTCATTCAGTCAAGCAGGACTCAAGTGGCAGAGACTCGACTCCTAACTTGACAGTTTTCTTGCATATTTACTCCAAGCCATATCAGATAAATACTTCACTAGCTGACAGAGACATCAATAATAAAACACATGGTGACTGAGAGGTGCAAAGGACAGAGGTTACTGAGAAGCTGTAATGGACATTATTGTACTTGCTAAGTTCAGCTTTTGATTTAAAAGCAAATGTTCAGTGTCTCTGGGCAATCTTAATTACTTTCTAATTATCCACTGTTAAGCCAGTCTACAAATGGATCCATGTTCAGAAGCACAAAATGAGCATCACTTCCCTGCTGGCGGCATCCAAATTCAAAAGCGCAGGAACAAGCCTGCTCTTCTTTGGCAGAGATTATTCCTACTGCTAGTTATTGCTTTAAAATTTATTGTTGCAGAGTTATTCTTATTTAAAGTAGTATTTTTATGAAACAAGCTTACAAGTAGTATTTTTATGAAGCACACTCAGTGGAAAGTAAACTGCATTGTAGATAGAGTTCCTGCAAGACCCCAAATAATCTTGTTTTCCCTGTGTCTTGCTAACCCAAGTAATGTTTGGATCTGTAACCTCCCCAAAGTGCTTCTTCCCTAATAACAGTATCAGCAGTGAAATTTATAATATGAAATGGACACTTATAGGGCCTTTATTTTCCGATTGTCTCTGTCAGTCAATCCGTAACAGTGCGTGCTGCTCATAAGGAAAGCCAGAAATAAGATTCACCTCCCAAAAGAGCTTTTAGTGAAGTCTGTTTCATTCCTCAGATACAAGTGTGGGGATCCTGGTACAATCGGTTTGCTTATGTAAGACAGACAGGGTAACTGATGGAAAATGCCAGAATTAAAACAGTTATGAATGTAGTGGCAAGTGAGCATGTGTTACTGCATTTAGAAAGGTACCGCAGAAAGCTGACCAGCATTATTTGCTGGCATGATAAAGGTTACTGATTTTTTTTTTTTTCCTTCTTTCAGTTCTCCTTTAGTGAGCTCATGTATTTAATGAATCTCAAGATAAGACCCCTATTAAATATGGGCGATGTTTGTGTGTATCTTACCTTTTGTCGCGTTCTGGTTAAGTTGAATATGTATGCTTTGCAGTGATCAAGCTGGAACTGGAAAATTGCCCTTTAATAACCATGCAAATGGTTACAGGCTGCCCAGGGAGGTGGTGGAGTCACCATCCCTGGATGTATTTAAAGAGCGGGTAGACGAGGTACTTAGGGATATGGTTTAGGGGGTAGACAGGAACGGTTGGACGTGATGATCTTGGAGGTCTTTTCCAACCGAGCGATTCTGTGATTCTGTGTGATTCTGTGAAATACTTAGACAGACAAGAATCCCCAGGTGGTAAGACAGTGTGGCTCACTCCACTTGGCTCCCCACAGGAGGCGGACAACTGTCCGTGTAGAAGAACGCTGACTTTAGAGACTCTGAAGTCTGTCCTCAGCGGGGCTCTCCCATGTTCTCCAGCTGATGCATAGCAAAGTGCAGTCAACACACATTCTTTTATGAACACAGATAATTCCTGGGTTGCCTGCATTAAGAATGAAATTAAGAAATAAGAATTTAGCTCTACAGCACAAAAGCTTGGAACTGAGTTTTAGCCTTTGTGTACTAAGGTATCTTGCCTTCCAAAGCAAGTATGTGAGGTTTTTTGAGTTGGGCTTCTGTGCCCAACACCCTCAGATAATTCAGAGCCGATAGTTCAATTTTTAAGCTGAAATATACCTTCAGAGTAAAGGATCTACACCCGAATATTATTTTATTAAAATGTTGCTAATTGCAGGAAGCATTTACTATGCTTTTTTGGTCTTGGAGTTGTTATTAGGAACTTTGGTTTGTCTCTATGGTTCTTTCTAGGAGAGAGGTTGTTTTGTTTGTTGTTGGTTTTTTTTTAAAAAAAAAAGTGAAGCCAAGATATTTGTTAACCTAACATGTGTTTGCTACCTTTATGACATGTATGCACTGCACTGGCAGGTGTCCTTCGCTGCAAGTAGCTTTGATACAGTTTTCTAAAGATGAAAAACTGACAGCCTAAGCCTCCTTCCACATTCTCTCTTTAGCAATTATTTCAGTGTCAGCAAAGCAAACCCAAGGATATGTCATAGCACAGACTTTTACACACTGTATTCTGCCTGCACACTCACTAGCTCAGATGCCTCGCGTGGAAGCAGAGCGTGGAAGAACGCAGTTTCTAGAGTGGCTTACACAGCCCTGCAGAATTCTGTGTTGCACTTGCTGGGTGCTGCTGTGACGTACCATTTGATCTAGATTGTTGCAATTGATTTTAAGTATTGTTTAGACAAAAAGGAATTAAATTTTACCTTTTGTTTGTGGTATGACCTTGTATTTCAAGGGTTGAAATATCACTTGTTACTTCTAAGAAAGGAAGTTAGAGTGGGCTTATATACTTCTAAATTCTATAGATATCACAAAATACTAAATGAAATTAATCACAGAATGTCAGGAGTTGGAAGGGACCTCAAAAGCTCATCCAGTCCAACCCCTGCCAGAGCAGGATCACCAGAGCAGTCACACAGGAACATGGCCAGGCGGGTTTTGAATGTCTGCTGAGGAGACTCCACAACCTCTCTGGGCAGCCTGGGCCGTGCTCTGGCACCCTCACACGGACAAAGCTTTTCCTCATGTTCAGATTGAACCTCCTGTGCTCCAGCTTGCTCCCATTGACCCTTGTCCTGGCATTGGACATCCCAGAGCAGAGCCTGGCTCCTTCCTCCTGACACTCGCCCTTTACGAATTTATAAACATGAATGAGGTCACCCCTCAGTCTCCTCTGCTCCAAGCTAAAGAGCCCCAGCTCCCTCAGCCGCTCCTCAGAAGGGAGATGCTCCACTCCCTCCATCATCTTTGTGGCTCTGCTGGACTCTTTCAAGCAGTTCCTGTCCTTCTTGAACTGAGGGCCCAGAACTGAACACAATATTGCAGATGTGGTCTCACCAGGGCAGAGTAGAGGGAAAGGAGAACCTCTCTGCCCTACAACCACCCCTTCTGATACTCCCCAGGATGCCCTTGGCCTTCTTGGCTCAAGGGCACATTGCTGACTCATGGTCTGCTATTTAAACATATGATTAAAAGCCTTGTGAGTGAACAGTGAATTTATACCTTAAATTTCCCAAACATTGATTCATTCTGAGGTTGCTTCTTTTTCCTTTCTTTTAATCCCCCAGTAGTTACTTAA